GGAAGAAAGCAAAATGACCCGTCCTCTATGTTGGTTTCCTGTTGGGGAGCGGGAAACTAAGAGTGAAAACCGTGGAAAGACCCTTGGAGTGACCCTTGGCTACGCGACAAGTACAGTATGGCCTGCGTCGCATGCTCCAAACCTCCAGGAGAATCAGGACTTCCCCGACAGGCGTCCAGGGTGATCAAGTGATGCTTAAGCCTCAGCGCATCGATTGAGACTCGTAGTCCTACATGAGCATCATGTTGAAATGAGGACTTGGTGGACATGATTTATATGGGGGATTCTGCTCATTATTCAACAGATTCTGGAGGATGTTCCCCATCGGAGTTCATACCGACATATCTGTGAACGGCACAACGCAAATGCCATAGTATCAGTATGCGTGCCCAGACCAAGAGAGGCACCAACTCGCATCAGGCCGAAGCAGTTTCTCTTTTGCCTGTCCAGCTTTCGAGGGCCTATGTTTTACACTCATTGGGTCCCTGGCTGCTTGGGAAAATAATTCTAGGAGCAAAACTGCATTTCACAGACATTTCACAGGAGCTAGCGAAACCTCAAACACGAGCCCAGGGATTTGACGCTAAGCTCCTGGCAAGACCAAGTCGCCTGTCAAACTGCTCGCTAGGAGCAGTGTGCGCATGCTGAGATGTGCCGACGGCTCCTGCAGGAACGGCTTTTTTGGAAGCCCCCTTCTGCCTGGTTTCTCAGGGACACCACAAGGAAAGCACCGTCCGGATGGGTCCCGAATTTTGAGTCAAACCCGCTCATCCCTCAGCATTTGGCGTCGCATCCCACAGAATAACTACCCACCCGTCTGTCAAGACGGTTTGTGGCATTTCGTGGCACGCAACAATTAGCATGAGAACTAGAACCTTTCAACAAGTACTTCCCCTTGCAACAAGAATCCTCTGCCTGACTCCAGGCAGTTGCTTCGTAGTGCCGAGCATTGTGATGTCTCAACTCAATGGGCCGCAAAGGCCAGAGACACCTGGGAAGCAACTCATCGGCTTCCGACGGAAGGTCCTCTGCGAAATAATGGATGTGCGAACTCAAAGCCAGGCACCTGAGGGCCACGGGTGGCCCCAAAGAGACACATGCCACGAAGCTGCCAACGGGTGAGGCGAGGTGAGAGCAGTGCTACAGGTAGGCCGCTACCCGTATTATGATTGAGGATCTGCTCAGGGTTGCAGCAAGTGAACAATGGACGGCAAAACTCTGCTCCCTTGCCCATTCCAGGACAAAAAGAAAGCACGGCAAATAGAGCCCATGCTCATAGACAACAGCCGCCTCGTCCAGTAAGAAAACTCTCCGACCATTGACGGCAACGGTGTTTTTTTTCTTCATACTAGGGCTGGTTTTTTCTTCGGTTTTGCGCAGGGCCGGCAACATCCCCAGCATCACCAGCATCACTTGGACCTGGGGTTGCCTATTTTCATGAGGGCTGGTCTTGGGGGTTTGGGGTTGACTTAGGAGAAGTGAAGGGCTGACATCCAGGCTGCTGTTGGGCGGGTTTGGGGTTGACTTTGAGTGGGTTGGGTTGGCTTTCAGATTTGTGTTAGGTGTGCTGCTGGTTTGGCAGCGGCTTTAAGCGTTCAAGGGTCAAGTGATGCTGGTGATGCCGGGGATGCGGGCAGCCAACCAACCAACTAACCAACTAACCAACTAACCAACCGACCAACCAACCAGCCAACCAACCAACCAGCCAGAAAACCAGCCCTAGAAAACAAACAACTGCCCTAGGACAAGGAAAAAAACACCGGATCGGACCATTGACTTCTGCACAAAACGGGGGTTTCTATGATCGCTTCCCTCAAATCGCCATTGATGACAACATATTGCCAGAGGGAAATAACACATATGACAAGACGGCCCCCGGGCTCCTCATCCAATAGAATGGGCTCTACCCTTTCCCAAACACAACAACAAACAAAACCGCGATGTATGACCCAACAAAATTGGATAGTACTTCAAGGAACGTGTAGGCGCACATCGAGTGAACGGGGCAATTTGATTTGTAGAATGATTGCATTTGAAAATTGAATACAAACAAAATTGATTATATTAGATTAAGCTGGCTTTGGAGAGCTCCTATGAGTCGGTGTCCGGGAGTGGACATTCCAAAAGTGGGCGGAACGACAAACAAAATCGCCTTTAACACATGGAACAACTTTTGTTGGCCTCTGGAGGCCCTATTCAAGAGAAACCATTGGAGACTGCACCAGAGGGTGGAAGGGTCTGGGAATGACATGTATCAGAATCCCCCACGAAGAAGGCATTGCAGGGGTGTCAAATCTCAGACCTGCGATTTCAACTGCAAAGTCATCCTTGTGTGTCAATGAATGCATCCTTCCATCCCACACCTCCTCTTCTCCATCTCTTCCCGCCTCCCTCCATCCTTCAATTCCGACCGTCCAGCCAGCACACCAGCCCTGCATTCCGAATGACCTATTAAACCTTGTCGTTTCATCTGCCGTCCCAGGCGCAGCAGGCTGGTAATCTCCATGGACGCACCAGGCAACCTGCGTGGATCCATGTGGAGCCAGAGACATCTGCAGGGTTCAACGGCTTGAAGTTTGGGTTTCGGGAGGATAAACTTCCAGTAGTTCCGCCATCAGTCCAAGCATACCCCAGCAAGTCAATCAAATGTGTTGAGTGGCATCAGCAAGCTCTTGCCTGGCAAAAAGAGTTTGTTTTTTGGAAAGAACAAGACCAAGTGTCGCATTGAATCTGGGCTAAATCCACCCCGTGTCACACAAATCCCCCAGCCTCACCACGTGCTGCGGCTTGAAGGCCAATCGACGCAGTAAGCTCCAGAAGCCTTAGGAAAGGGGTGTACCCAACATCCGTGCTAAAACAAAACAGCTTGCACTCGAGTTGAATACCGTTTTTTGGCCCTGGCACATTGTGTGCCGTATGCTCCCTACCTGGTACTTGTAGCTTCTTCGCAAGGGAGATCCTGTGCCATTTGTTGAAACGTCCACAGGCCCATGCCTGTAAGGCCTCAGCCCGTGGCACAGTGATGCATCAGCCCTCCTCTTTTTCCAGGAGGTGGTTGTTACCGAGCTGACGACCTTCGCCTGGGTGCTTGGCGCAGATGCCATGAGCCGGCACGTCAGCCAAACAAAAACAGCGGCCACCAGCATGAGGTGTGTATTGACTGGCCCCGGCCCTGTCCACCAAGCAGTCCGAAGTAACATGGTCAAAAGACCTGGCTCTGGTTACTAGGGATGGTCATGGTCCATGGTTCAGTCACCCCAACGACTTAGATCGAGGGCTCTCTTGCTTCAGAAGATGTAACTCCTGGTTTCAGGTTGCTAAAGGGCTCACCAACAAACGAGGCCATGGTCTCTGACCAAAAAAGCGCAAACCATGGCCATCTGTCACGGAATCACCTGTGCGCAGTAAGTCCTGTTGTCTCAGAACTGTATGATGTGAAGCTCAGGCAGAAGGGAGCTGACACTTTTGCACCACTGTGAAACTAGGGTTTAAGCCCTGCAGCAAAGCGTCACACTGCCGTAGACCAAAGAGCTTGGCCGCGTCGCCCACGGGCACTGACGGGACCACCTGCTTCGCTGACCCGCATGCACCAGCTTCATCTCGCATACTTCTTTCTGATTTTGCGACGCATTGGAAGTGAATCTGCAACACTCCGGAAAAGTGTGAGGCATGCCTTGCCGTTTGGCAAATCCAGACAAACAACCATCCCACACACAGCTTCCGTTTTTGACCCCATCTGGCCACTCAAAGGCATGCGAGCCACCAACGTCTGACAGCCTATGGTGTGGATTTACTCCGAGACTCAGCACAGCCCAGCCCATCTAATTCTTTCCAAATCCGATTGGCTGGAAAAGGCTAGGAGTCAGTTTCGGAGCCCAGCCCAGCTTCCATTCCAGTAGGCTAGGCCAAGGAGTCAGTTTCGGTCCGGCCTCCGAAACCATGCCACCTGCCTGGCCGTCCAAGAGCCACTGCCTGGGGTCCGTGGCCCACTTGGCAGGTGGCCTGCTCCAGGAAGGACTCCGAGAGCATAGGGACAACAACGCCAGCAGCTCGTGGCAGGAGATCCAGTCGTGAAGTCTCCTCGGAGTCTACCAATCGCTGTGCTAAGCTTAGGGCCGTTGCTCAAACATTGAATGTCATAGGGCTGTGGGTCAATAATAGGTATCCAAAATTGAACCCTGTAAGTGGTAACATGGACTAAAACCTGCGGTCCCCTGGTGGTTTAATTTTGACCCATATGCATAACTCGACTATATTTTTCTTTGCAAGCAGACTCATGCGAGGCAACATGGCCAACAAAAAAGAGCAGCTAAGCCGATATGATTCTCCAGGAAATTCATGAAGGCCAAATGTGGGGCAACTCTTCAGAAGCGGGCAGGTGAGCAAATGAGACTTCATCCTTGTGGGGCATTGCAGGCAAATGCTGCTAACCCGCCAATCGAAAGAAACACATGACTCGACTAAATTCTGGACTGAATGATAGACAGAAAAACCCCCGTCGCCGCCTGTGCAATCCTTTCCAAAGGCTCCAAGAGATAAAGGGCAGCCAGGATTCCTTGTGGATACCCGCAAATCCGCACTCTCCAACCCCGCCGGAAATCTCCTTTGAGGTCACCTCCGTTTTCCCGCTCCTGCCAAAGTCGTCCGTCAGAATGTCCAGCAGGTCCATGTCCATGGCTCAAGCTATAAGCCATATGGGACTGAAGTGCCCGGGAAAGTTGAGCGAGTCACAAACTTGGAAGCACAAATGCCCCAGTGCTGTGTTCCTTGCCGATCACGCAGTTCCACTCAAACTGACCGTATCTTTGCTGATATCTGTTGCAACCGATCACTATGATGTGTCTGATTGCGGCGCCTTGAGATGCAGCCAGCGAACTGGCCCACGAGCTTAGGAATAGCTGACAGTGTAGTCAGCGTGTACAATCTGAGAACCCCAGGCCTGGCTCCCGTTGGGTTTCCAGTGAATTCCCTTCCCTCCGAGTCATACCTCAGGCTCCTGCAATTCACCAAGGATGGGAACATCCGCAGACCTGCCCCGGGCTCGCTCGTTGAGCCAGTGAAATGGAGGGTAAGGAGAGCGCCATTCACCCCTCATGGAGAACCAGCCCCTAGTTAGCGGCAAGAAAACAAGGAAACGTTCTTTGGGAGGCTCCTTTGCGGTGGATAGGCAACTTTTCCCAACCAGCTGGAGCAGTTCTTGGACTAGGCCATAGATCAATGAAGTCAATAGGATCAAGACTTTGCTTTATGTAGATCTGTTTGCGCATCAACCCATTTGCTTGGTTGGCGTCCCAGTGGACTCACTCATGCCGGGAACTGAGATCTGGGCGACTGCGGAAGCTGTCGCCCACAGGCGAAAAGGCGAGAACGACGTGGACGTTTTTCTTCACCTGCATGTTTGCACCAGCGCGAAGTGCAAAATATCCAACATGGCCAAAGGTACGAATTCAGGTGTGCTGTTGTGATATCATATCTACACTTTGTGCACTGCCATCCTACCAACACCAGCTCTTAGTCTTCGTCTCCATGGCTGGGAGAGAAGAGATGGGATGAAGATGAATAATCAAATGACATGTCTTTCCTCCTCCAAAGAAAGGCAAACAATCTAAAGGGAGAAGGATGAGGAAAGGAATGGAATAACAATACAACAATGATATGATGCCATGTCAAAATACGCCACTTGAATACATGTGACTAAAGGTGTGGGAGAGGTGATAAGTAAGAACATTTACACAACTTGAAATGGTTGTGAAGCATTATATTTAGTGTCCTTGGTCTTCTCTTTTTGGGTTCTTCGTCAGAGGCCAAAACATTGCATCCTGGTCGCCAAAATACGGGCCCCAAAAACTTCAGGATCCACGGCCATCCCTGGTAACCCCCCAAGGTTGTCCGCTGCGGGTCTGGACCCAAGCAGCCCCGGTGAGCGCACCCTAGAGAGGTATGCGCTGAAGAGGTTGGCTTTGTTGGGCTGCATGCCCATGTTCTGACCTGGGGCGTGCTCTTCAAGTACTAGATGCGCACTCTGCAAGTTGTCTCCATCTGAAGCAAAAAGGGGCTGCATCGTTTCCCAGTCAGCAGAATGCTGAAGAAACTCTGATCCGCACATCCATACAGTGCAGAAAAAACTAGTTGTCTCGAAGCATGACCCAATGAAAGCCCCTCTTTTTTCACCTTCGACCTGAGTCCACATTGGACAACTGGGTGCGTGGCACAGCTGCCGACACGCCCCTGAGATGGACTCCATGTCCTGCGCGGCAGAACGTCGGTCCAAAGTCGCAACGTGCGGCATGCGGCCTCGTTGGCGTAGAGGTTCGGAACGTCACCACCTGGGTGGCCGCCCCGATTCGTGACAAAGCCCGATGCATGTGACTTCGGAAGCACGCAATGGAGGCACTCCAAGGTTAAAAAAGGTCCCGAGTTGTGGACACCAAGCGAGCCGGTGTGTCACTAAGCCAGGATGACTCCAAAAAGGGCTTGAGCTTCCCTTTGAACTCCCTCTCAAACTCATACGGTCGCCTCAAAGAAACGCTTAAAGCAGGAACCCCCCAAATGCTTCGTTCTTGTTTGGTTTCCCCTTTCGCATCAACACCAAAGTTCCAAAACAAATGCAATATACCAACTCACCGAAACGCGCTGACAAGTAAAACGTGCATCAACACACCACACATTGAGGTCTTTTAGAACCCCTCCTTCTTTACAGGTTTGTTTGGCACCGCTCGCAGCCCAAACCCCACGTCTCAGCTGAGTGGCTGTTGAGCACGTTGTTGATGGCCTCCACAAAGTCCTCCTTCACGATTTGGGTGTCACCTGGGCCGCTGCGGAGAACCAGCCGGCTGCCTGTTCCATCCTCCGAAAAGCAGTCCGAAAAGCAGTCCTTGCGGAGGCTGCTTTAGGGTCCTATGTGCTATGTTCCGTAGCTGTTGAAATTGGGGGTTAGTGGCTAGTGGGGAGGGGTCAGTGGCAACTCTAGGAATTGATTCTGGGCTCTGAGGTTCTCTCAAAACCCTTAACAATGAACAGTCTTGTTTTGTTGTTTTTTTCAGCAGTTCCAAAGAAAGCTCACACTCAAATCTTATGTGCACCAAATGCAATGAACAGAGTTGATCCCCGCTAAACAGAAAAAGGTGAGCTGGCCAGCTCGACACCATAATTAGATGCTGACCAAGCCCTAGTTGCATTGGGGCGAAGCTAACCAGAACTGCTTCCCATGAAAGATCCCCCTACCTGCAAACACTGTAAAAGCTGTGTTTTGCATATCTCTGTGGCTTGGCGGCGGCTGTTTTGCTCATCTTGCATCCCCTTCCCCAAGTCAGTCCAGTTGGGCATCAGTCGGGTTGCCCGAATATATCCTTGGGATCCCACCAAGCCGGTGTTCTGTTCTTTGGTAGTTCCAACATTAAAAAAAAAAATGCTCTGAAATGTCCGCATGCGTGGGCGTTCTTTGCGCTCAGATTCAGTTGGCGATTCCGCGGGTGGCTCTGGCCATTGTAAGACCAGCGGCAGAAAAGGAAGACTTGCACCTTGTCCTCCACTCCGCACTTCATCAAGCATTTCTTCACGTCCTTATGACAAACTCATTGACCAAAGGCCCATGTTGCGACGCATGACCAAACGCGCTGCAAAAAATAAGGAAGCAACATCTACTCACTGCAGCCGCGCTGCGTCCCGGAACTCCGTCATTCCATACCCTGCGCGGCGAGACGATGCAGTGAGCGCGAAAAAATCGGGGCAGATTGTTGGGTTCACATCTTGGAAAGGGAGGAATGTCGTCTCATAGGTCAAACGCTCCGGGCCTTTGGCCACTTCGATCTGGAAACACTCACAGTCCTCGGCTCTCCATTTGCACACCCAGAGTTCACTCCATTCCGGGAAGCCAACATGACCCATCATGCAACGGCTGAAATGGGTTTCATGTTGTCCAGGGAGATGTCTTCATGGAAGAAGTTGTATCTTTGGAACCCCGGTATGTTTGACTGTCTCAGGTCACAAGAGGGATTACTCTTGAACATGTCACAGCTCACTCACTCTCCTCACTCACTCTCTCACTCTCTCACTCTCTCACTCACTCACTCACTCACTCACTCACTCACTCACTCACTCACTCACTCACTCACTCACTCACTCACTCACTCACTCACTCACTCACTCAGTCTCTCAGTCTCTCAGTCTCTCAGTCTCTCAGTCTCTCAGTCTCAGTCTCTCACTCAGTCTCTCTCACTCTCAGTCTCAGTCAGTCAGTCTCACTCACTCACTCACTCACTCACTCACTCACTCACTCACTCACTCACTCACTCACTCACTCACTCACTCACTCACTCACTCACTCACTCACTCACTCACTCACTCACTCACTCACTCACTCACTCACTCACTCACTCACTCACTCACTCACTCACTCACTCACTCACTCAGTCTCTCAGTCTCTCAGTCTCTCAGTCTCTCGGTCTCTCAGTCTCTCAGTCTCTCAGTCTCTCAATCACTCTGTCACTCAGTCACTCCACTCCACTCCACTCACTCAGTCACTCCACTCACTCCACTCACTCCACTCACTCACTCACTCACTCACTCACTCACTCACTCACTCACTCACTCACTCACTCTCACTCACTCACTCACTCACTCACTCACTCACTCACTCACTCACTCACTCTCCACTCACTCACTCACTCACTCACTCACTCACTCACTCACTCACTCACTCACTCACTCAATCACTCACTCACTCACTCACTCACTCACTCACTCACTCAGTCTCTGAGTCTCTCAGTCACTCAGTCACTCACTCACTCACTCAGTCACTCACTCACTCACTCACTCACTTACCCAGTCAGTCACTCACTCACTCACTCACTCACTCACACACTCACTCATTCACTCAGTCACTCAGTCACTCAGTCACTCAGTCACTCAGTCACTCAGTCACTCCGTCACTCCGTCACTCAGTCACTCAGTCACTCAGTTAGTCAGTCACTCAGTCAGTCAGTCACTCAGTCACTCAGTCACTCAGGCACTCACTCAGCCACTCAGCCACTCAGCCACTCAGCCACTCAGGCACTCAGTCACTCAGTCACGCAGTCACTCAGTCACTCAGTCACTCCACTGACTCCACTGACTCCACTGACTCCACTTACTCCACTTACCTCACTCAGTCACTCAGTCACTCAGTGACTCAGTGACTCCCTCCCTCCCTCCCTCAATCACTCACTCCCCTCCCCTCCCTGCCCTCCCCTCCTTTCCCCTCCGCCCCCCTTCCCTCCCCTCCGTTCCCTCCCGCCTCTCACCTTCTCTCGCCATCTCACCACCTCTCACCACCTCTCACCACCTCTCACCACCTCTCACCACCTCTCACCACCTCACCTCACCTCACCTCCCCTCCCCTCACCTCACCTCACCTCACCTCACCTCACCGCACCTCACCTCACACACCCACACACACTTGCCTTTTGCGTGGTGCGGTGGCAAACATCCTACTCAAACACACAAGTGAAAAGCGCTCTGCCGCTCTGCAACTGCCTTTCTTTGAACAACACGCACTTTACATTCCCAGTCCACACCCTTCATGCTGCCGTGAGGCGTTCATGTATGTTGACAGCCGCGTCAAGCTTTGGCGTCCGCTGCCTCCGACCTTGGCCGTGGAGGTCAGGGGGGGGTCAAATATATAAATATACACAACACATCACAACACACACACACACACACTTTGCATACAAATAATTTCGTAAGACTCTGACGTTTTGAAGGCACTAGCTTGCCCACTTTCCAAAAAACATGCACATGGACAAAAGGACTACGGGACAACTTGGCTGGAACTAGGACCAGCAAAAAAACAAATGCCTGGTTAGTGGAAAACAAAGGGGACCTCAAAAAGCAAAAAACAAAAACAAAAGGGGAACTAATTCTGGGGAAGACAAATGCTGTGTAAATGCAAACAAATGAGCATTCATGGACCAAACATCATTGAAAGTGAGTCGATGAGAGAAGTAGCACAAAGGCTCAACAGCCTCACCGCACAGTGCCCCTGACCAACTAGGCGGTCGATGGTTCGATTGGCCTTAATCTCTGGGCTGCAGGCCCCAAGGAGCAAGACGTTGCCGCTGGGATGGCTCAACACACGGCCTTGCGCGGCGCTTGGGGACTAGGGATGTGGCTGTGTCAACTTCATCTTATTTTACTTTATGAGAAGTAGAAGCTTCTCGAAGTTCTTGAGGACATCTCTCTGAGAATATGATGGACACCACTTTTTTGAAAGGTCCCTGGTTTTGATGCGTCTGCATGTGTGTGGCCTGCAAATCAAACGCGGAGAGCGTAAGGGAATTGATGGAAATTGTTTGCTCGTAACACGTCACCAGCCCACGTTCAATTTGTTTCTTATTCCCTCATTGTGCCACATTTACTCTGAACACTTGAATGATCAAGACATATTATACGAACAAAGCTGGGAAGCTCAACCTGTCCTGCAATCATGTCAATTCCACACACACACACACAAATTGCATACCCAAAACCAAAAATGAGGCTGCTGCAAATTCGTGCGCAGTGCTCGCAAGCATCCAGGAACATGACCAGGGGCATTTGCAAGGTGCTGACCTGAGCAATGCCAACCAATGAAACTGAATCCCTTGATGTGAAGATTTGGAAGGGGTCGCAAAATAATCATTTGGCGGTACGTTCCCTTCAAAGCACAATTTTAGAGGAAAACTTGGAGCATGTCTCCTGAAAGCCAGTCGAAACCCTTGACAAGCCCTGCACACTGTTGTACTCTTCCAGGTACTCCTCGATGCACTCTTTCATCGCCTGCCGGTGTTGGTAACAAAATACTCCCCTATGAATTCCGCGATGCGCGAAGTGCCGATTTCATCTCGCACAAGCCCTGCACAAGTCGTAGACCGGCGTGTTGCTTCAGGCCTGGACATCCCGCACCTCTTCGTAGTAGCGCTGGTCAGCCTTCCGCAATTCAGGCGTGGCGTGCAATCGCTCGCATCCCGCTGTGCGGCCGAAGCCCAAGCAGAAAGCTGAGGGCCCCGCATCTTGGTTGAGGAAGGAGGCGAAAATCAGCCGCTCGGTGACAAAGATCGACCTCGCGGTTGGCATGCCAAATCGAGCCAGCCACCTTCAGGAAAATGAGTGCAATGTGTCTAAATGGTGAAACCAACTTGTACTCAAACAGCCTCCTTTTGGTCAAGGACTCAGATTGTACCATATATATGCCTCCCTGAATTCCCACAAATCTTGGCGTCCCCTGCCCGGCATCGATGTGAAAGCTCGTCTCCAGCTGTCCTCAGTGATCCCCTGACCTGCCTGGGCACCTTGCGGGGAAAAAACCGAGCCATGGGCAACTGTTTGTTGCCCTGATGCGCTTTGGAAAAATCGCGTGCCCCCCGGTTGTTGTCGGAAAGTTAGAAAGTCCCCCACGTCCTTCCCAAATTGCCCATAGGCTAATTACGATCGAGCCTCGTATGCCCTTCGACTCCCATGCTCTCTGGCAGGTGGCACCGCATTTTCCCTTTTTCAGCATCCCTATCCCACAGCCGAGGTTCCTTTGATCTGATCCGTCATCCACTTGGCATCGTGGGCGTCCGTCAGCCGGTCCCCAAACACCTGGCACAATGCCTTGTTTTAAGCCGTTCATTTGGATGCAGCTCCATATTTGCTGACCCTCAAATCCACTTACAATGGCCTGACTCAAAAATAGCGAGCTGGCGCACCCGTCTCAAAACCATCCCCAAACAAACATCTTTCTCAACTTTTGCCTCTCAGCTGCCCGCGTCCTACTCCGGGGCCCGTGCCCTTTGGATCTCGTGGCACCAGCAGCGGATGACGACCTCGCTCCAGGGGGATCCTTTTGCCCGTTTGCAGACAAGTTCGGCTCAAGAGGAGGCCGCCTTGGGACAAGTTCAGATTTCAGCCTACTTTGGCACAAGTTCGGGCCTTTTGAGGGCGAACATTTTGCATGTGACTAGGGCCCTGCCTCGCGCTGGTTGGCCTTCTTGGAGCTCAAGGTGCACAGCCCGAGGAAGACCTCAGCGCTCGTGCCGGGAAAATGCGCCAGGGAGGTGGGGCAAGCCCGAATCGCCTTCCGAAGGCTTGTTGCTGGGGGAAATGCGTGGCGGGCGCTTCCAAATGCCTGGCGGTTTGGGGATACTTTGAGGCCTGGCAGCCTGAGCTGGAGAATGAATTAGGAGAAAACTGGTGCGCGCTGGCAGAAGCCCATTCTACTTCGCTGCTTGAGGCAGCTGGGAGCACTACACGCCAAATGTCGCGGAGGTTAAAGAGGTAGTGAGATTTGGAAGGTGTCGGCAGCAAGTCCTGGCAAGCACATGTTCTGCCCTTTGAGCTGAGGCAATATACCCACAAACATGTTGATCCCGTCCTGAGACGGTAACAAAGGCGGAACAATGCAACGAGTTTTTGTGCAAAGCAACACAGAATGGCTGGCCAGCTTCAGTCCTGAAGCGCATGCTTGAAGACGTTCACCGTGCTTTCGATCCTTGCCAGCGGCCACATTTGCCCAACTGATAAAACCTCCCAACTTTGAGAGAGCACTTTTGGCTTGAGCCTTTCGGCTGCCAAGGTGAGTCAAAATCAAAGCCTGGTAACATGATCTACCCAAGCCCCTGCAACAAAATCACACGTGGCGGCCGCAACTATTTCTGGCTAGGATTGTCCCTTACTAACCTTCACCTACCAGGTTCTGATTGTGGCTGAGGTGATTCTGGGCGCAAGGGTTTTCAGGGTGCCGTTCCGCAAGAAAAGGGCGCACGTGCACGTGCACGTGCACACGCACACCCACACAAAAGCACAAAAACGCCGATTGCTGAGCAGCAATATCGATCAATCCAAGCATGCGCTCACGCAAACATTAGTATTGGTTTCCCGAGGATTAAGCTAGCTGCGCTGTGTCCTCAACACTTGCCCTGCCTGTACTTGAAGCATTTGAAGGTTCACAACAGACTGCACTTCTCTGTTCCGATCCAATCCTCCAGGTGAGATGGCCTTTCTACAAACAGTGCTGGGCCGCTAGCCATGTAATAGTCAAAGTGCAGCAGGACGCAAGGCAATAGCAAGAGTTTACTGAGCACTCGGGAACGGCTGCATGTTCTTTTTCAATGCTGCGGACATTGTCAGGACAATCGTTCTGATGGGGCACAGCATTTAAAGACATACATGTGTGGAAATGGTGTCTCATCTCGAGACACGGCAAGTATAAAACTCAAGGATTCCAAAGAAAGCCGCTGTACCTCTTTTGACGGAACCGTGGCAAACCAACGCAAAGCGGTTTGGCCCACCGCAAACACGACACGAGGGCCGTGCAAAAATGACATGGTCTGACAGGTCAAAGACGCTGAGCTCCGCGCATGGTGGGAATCGTGGCCTGGATGGAATCCTCGAACCTGGGAATTTCTGCGAGTGACTTTGGATTGGCATGTCTTTCAAAAGGCAACTCGGAAACCTATATGCAATTGTTGAAATGTCAAAGGTCCGTCAACATGGGCTTCCCAAGTCGCATCAGGAACCATCAGGAATCTGAGGTGACGATCCTGTGATTCATCTCGGATGTTGATCATCAACCACAAGAATGGTCGCTCTCCTCCAGCTGCCAATTTTGTATACGTGCAGAGAGGCCAAATCTCGCAGACTCTGAAGGGCAAACATCAAGCACACACATCATAGACATAGACACACAATATATACTAGTATGTATAAAAATCAATCATTTCAGCAGGGGCCAAACTAGTGCTAAACTAATCTTCAGGAACCCTCAATATGCCCTTAGCTTATCACTGTATCGGGTATGGCAAACGAAAAACATCGTTCTTGGCGCAGCGCCCGGATAAGAAGTAGGCGGTCATCGTCTGGAAGATTTGGGCAATGGACTCGTCCTGGCGGTTGCTCGTGGCCAGCGTTTTGTTGGAAGGTACCTTTTCAGGCTGCCACCCCACCCCCCCAATTTTCATACTCACACGGGATTGCATCGGAACATAGCCATTTTTTCTGTCCCAAACCATGGTTTACTCTCACTGCATGACTTAGGATGATTCAAGCAACACGATGCATGCACGCCGACAGTTCAATACAATTCTAGCATGTAAAGTGACAAAATTCCAGCTTGCACGCAAACTACACCAACCTAGCACCTTTCTAGTACATATGTAGTCAACGAAGCAAGCTTGGGCAACTCTCCATGATAAATGGGAAGTGTTCAAACACAAACAAGCGTTGTAATTATACAAAGTACACGTTGCCAGCTCGAACATTTCTGCCAAAACCAGGTGATTGTCCTGCTTCAAAAAAATAATAATATCAGAAACAAGCCTGTTGGGCGCAAGCCTCCCCATAGTGTTTGGGGAATCTACAATCCCACCAAGCAACTACCCAAAGGAAGCCAACCACAAAATCAAAGGAACCTAGGGCACTCTACCAGCTCAAACTCGCAACATTTTAGGGAGTCCAAAGCTTTCTCAGTGGATACTACCGACCACTATAGAAGGCAACCAGAGATCATCCTGTGTCCCTCAAGTTCTTAAATATACTCTGAGTTCCCAGGATCACTTAGTCGGGAGCCATTGCAAGCCATTCAAGTGCCATGTGCGGGCTCATGAAAGAAATTGTTTAGACCCCTGGCAGTGGTAAACCTCATTCGTGAAAGCAACAATGTGACCCTAGGTAAAACAAAACAGCAACCGGCATTACTTAATTTATCAATATTGTTTACTGTGTGCAAAAAGTCAGGAAGCCGCTCAATTGACTGACTTCATGTCGATGGCTCCTAAAATGCCTGGTTTGACCCATCCAATCCCACGCGGTCCTGCAGCTCAGAATAGGCCAGCACCTTGATGAAACAGGCCGGGGGGAACCCTGGAGACTCTGGAGAGGGTGAGCAATAGAACCTATATCCAAATGTGTCTCCTTGGGATTCCTTAGATATGCCCATGGCACCAAGCAATGAATCAAGCAACTCTTCAAACTCTAGGCACTCCTGAATATCTTGACCGAATCATGGGTTGTTTCTTCAGGCAGTCTCACTCTTCAGATTTCTGCGTTTAGGAAGCGAATTCCAGGGATGGCAGGAACTTTATCTAGAAACGCATCGCATCAGCCAGGCAGGAACAATAGCTGGTCCAACCTGCTTGCTTTTCTTGGGACAAACCGACAGAATCCTTCTACATAGTCGAAGTAAGCGTCAGTCAGGGCCAAGCGAGTTCCAGTCCTCCAATCTGAGAGATGGGCAAAAACGATTGTCTAGTTGGCTGCACGAACAATATCAACAACGATGCCTACACTCGTACTGCCTCAAAACGCAATGAGGTTCACCAAGTAGTGACAACATCCAGAACATCACGAAGCCCTTCCTTCGTCAGGGCGAAGTGATCAAGGCTGTCAACTGATAGTCTTGGGCGCGGGCGTTGTAGTGACGTTTCAAGCCTCGGAAAGGCTAACAACGCCAAGAGGAAACCTTCGACCCTTCAGCTGCAGGAAAGGAGAGATTGACAGTGGTTTATCACGACTGGCTCCATGACAATAACCTGAGCACCCGTAGCCAGAAATTGTCTTGCGAAGGGACACGCAATCATGACTATAGTACTTAGATGAAACGAGGCTTTAAAAGACCAAACGGACCAAACAAGTCTCTCAAGCTAGTTCTACCTGGGAGAATATCACCCTTCCTTAACTCCGCCACATAATTAGGGAGATAGCCAACACTTAGCCTCCCTGATTTCAGGTAAGCATAATCAAAACCTGGTATTAAAATAGTCTACCCAGAACTCAAGGAAGTAGAAAGGCGGCTGAACCCATTGTGGCTCCGCGATACACCAAAAAACGAAAACCACGGGAGCTCGGGAAGTTGGAGCCATCCGTCCACGAGGCCTAAGTCTCTGGCGCTCCGTGATGAAGGTGCGGCCACCTCCGGGCGGGCCCATGGCGGAGGCCATCACCTACGGCAAGCGAAGGGGAGCACAGACCACAAAAAGGCCGTTCGGGAAGCAAGTTTGGATGCCAAGGAACATACCTTGCATGCAACTCAAGGTTTGATTAAGGTTTCAGCATGATCTTTCCAAGTCGGTGCTCTCTTCCAATGGTTGGCGTTGAGTGAGCAGCCCGTGCTGAGACAGTTTCGGCCTCTGACTTTCCCAAATTGCCACATGGCGTATATTCCATGCAAACATGGGTTGCGCACATTGATGTGTACCTGCACTTTGGGTTTGGTGCCCGTGTTGCCAACAGCAATGGCCACTCGTCGGGGCCCTGGAACGCTCAGTGGAAGTGGCTGCCACTTGGAACGCACCAGAAATGGAATGATATCAATGAGTTGTGTGCAAACTTGACTCAGAAAAGTCCCGGCCCTGTTTGCGAGGGTATATTGCTGTTCCCAACCGAGCTTTGGCGATGGAGTGCCGGAGGGGCTGCCCTTCATCTCTGCACAGCTTGACCATGAACATCAACATGCAATACAAAGGACAGGTAAACACGGGCCAGTCAGTTGCCAGCGGCAGATATTCTGAGATGTCGGCCATGTCTGTGATATCAAACTTCTTCAGCTCTTTCCTGCAACACTGGCGAGAAATCGGACAGCAACAAACAACAGCCGTTCCTCACAGTCAGCAACGCAAAAAAGTCCTTGGATGAGCATTCCAAGTTTGGCCACAATGGCCAACTCAAATGGCGTGTTCGACATACAGCAGGGCCTGTTGTACCAGCCACCATGATCATGCCATTGACGAAGCCTTGGTAGAATCTGGGTATTCTGCTACAAGCCAGCAAAATCATCCAAGCCAGCGACAGCTCAATCGGTGGTTGAGCGCCATAATACTCTTTCTGCGGCATGTTCCTGGCACAAGTGCTTCTGGAAAACCAAGCATGGCTGAAAAATACTACTTCTGCTGGACGCTGATTGCATTCCCGTTCCCCCTTCAGACAAAGGGTCTTAAGTAGGTCCCCCAAAATCCCTGACACGATTCAAGCCACAAGTCACGTTGCATCTGCATCAGATGCGCTGCCTAGTCGTGCTCAAGCTTGCCGGGCTGACAAATCATCAACAAAAAGCACCATCTTCTTGCCGGCAGGTGGGCCATACACACCTCTTCTCCTGGTCAAGGAAAACCACGCGGCGAATCGCTTGCGCTAACAAGCGCTTTTGCATGCCTTGTGCGTGGGCAAGACGTGTTTGAGGCTTCCGAACCATCTAAAATGTTCTCCGTTTCCAGGTTGCTGCCCAACAAATCGTAATGTATGAAAATGGCAAGGCAACACAATTCGGTGATTCACTGAAAGATTGATTCGACGATCCTCCGTGCGTCCAAAACGGAGGCTTCAGCAATACCCACATAGCAACGCTGCTGTGCCTCTTCTCCAGTTTTCCATCGATAAGGTCTTGGAACCTGGGCGCAGGTTCACGGGTGTCAAGGGCCCACAGCAACCGCAACAGCGTGGGCTCGCTGAGGCCAAGGCTGATTCACATGTGTTTGGGCCTCGGTCGCTCGCATGAAGAATTCCGCATGGATTCGCATGGGCACGGGTGGTTGCCTAAACACGAGGAATGAGGACATGAGCTCCGAGAGTACGAGGCAAGTCTTGCGGTGCTCATGCCAGGAACCAGCAAGCTCTCAGAGCAAGAGATGTGACTGGGGAGCCGACAGAGAAGTTGACAAAGACGCCTGTGCCAGAACACCGCATGTGTGTGTGTGTGTGTGTGCAGCTGTGTGAGTATGCGCCTCTGCCACGCCATGTTCATTCCACACGCACAATCCGACAAGGCAAATTATATCAATACTTGCTTGAATAGCCACAGTCTGCCAAACCTACAAAGGCACTTGACGCACCGCAATCATGCTGATTTTGACAACAAAACATGCTTCAGCCCCCCCTTGCACACGCGCTACTTGTTTTGCATTATGTTGCGCTTAGTATGTGCCTAGGCAGGCAAAAACAAAGCGAGCAAAATAATGCTCCAGCAACTGAAAAAGCATGGGCAATGCACGCAAAGCCGAACAGAAGCCTTCGGGTGTTTCTTCCTGAAACACACGACACCGCATGACAACACGAAACACATGCGACATCATCCAAAGCTGCTGATCCAGATCGGCCGGTCAGCCGGAAAGCCCCGGCCTTGAAAGTTCTCGGGCGCCTGCTTCTGCAGCCACATGGAGATGTTGACACCTGGCACGTGGCGCGCGTCTATCTTCCAGTTTCGTAATCTTGGCTGACCAGAAGGAGCGACCGTCCGACTCGGGCAAAATCGAATCAAGCTCAGCGGCATTGGGGCCATGGGCTGATCTCTGACTCGAGTTCTTTCAACTACACACAAACCTCGGCAATGAATGCCGCCTTTGCTATGCCTCCTAATTAATGTGAGCCACCTGGTTTGGTCTTTGTCTTCTCGAGGGTCCAATATGCGTCCAAGCATGTCCAAATATATTACTCCGCCGGCAGCATGCAAACAAGGCAGGGTGGCTCTTGCCCGTCCCTGTGGCGCCAGGGCATAGAACGTGCTTGTCGTGGGTGATCAGAATCCTGAAGTCGAACTAAGTGTGTCCATCCACTAACTCTTATTTGATCTATTTTGCGGTCCACTCTTTGACATGTCCAACCCAAATCCTGACACCAACACAATGCTGACTGTCGCTTTCATCGCGCATCATGAGCGTACTGGACTGAATTGAACACCACGCAAGGGCCCGACCTATCACTTGAACGTGCAAACAGTTTGTCAAGACAATGCAAGCTGGCTTAGTTCAAAGCACACATCTTTCAATCGCTTTGTTCGGGGGAGGAAACTGCCCACAAAAGGGGATGATGGCCCTCCAGCCAGATGGCAAAGCTTAAAGGAAATGTCGCCTGAGAAAAATATTCGTCAAGGCAATCATGGCCGCGGTGATTTCATGCAACTGCATGATTCCTTTATATTTGAGCCACGGAAAATATGATGTCTTTCCTCAGGGGAAACGCTGTTTTCCACCACCCCCGCCCTGTTATTCTCCGCGGGCTCTTTCGGCTGATCATATCATATACATGGACATGTGATATCATATTGACCACAGCACATCCGCGGCAACTTACGACTAGTGCTTCCCACTGCAGGTAAGCATCTGGAAAGCGTAGACCAGGCGAACTGAGTCGACGGAAGGAACCACCTTGGCAGCGACGTGCAGTTGGCTCTGAAACCCACCGCCAACAAGGGTACTGCATCCAGCCCTTGGCCATTTGCATGATATGTGATTGGGGGGGGGGGTATTTAACAAGCCCATATTAGGGTACAAGAACCCTGGGCAAGGCTGACTGAAAAGTCCAGCCACGCATGCTTATGCTTGCATCGTCAAGCTGGGACAAACCCTCAGGGTTGGGGAAAAAAACGGGTCATTCAAGCCTTCGAGCATGGATGAGATATCCAACTGTCACAGAAGCAACCATGGAGGCTGGCGCAGCGATGCAGCTGAAGGAAATTGAAGCGCCGGTGGTTGTGGTCGCCATGGCTGTTTTCGTTGAATAAGGCAAGGTCAGACTGGAATCAGAATAGGAAACATTTGGAAACACTTGCTTCAGCAAAATAAGGTGGACCCATTGACATCTTTGGATCCTGCACTTGAGGAACGTGATTCAAGTCACGCCAGGAAATGATACTCGCTTGACTCGCGTTTTAACTCCTCAGGCACGCGCGATCTCTTCATAACGAGCTCCGCGGGGGATCTCAAAGGTGGGGATGGTTTGCATCCTGGGTGTCAGCAAACGTTACGGACAAAGGGCTTCTTCCGCGGACTTCCGAGCTTGGCTTCCGCGAGTATCGGCGAAGCAAGGAATGCACACAAGTGAAACAGTTCATATCAAACCACAAAGCTTCCGCGAACCTTCCGCAAAAGCAATCTCTTCCGGAATGATGTCCCTCTCCCGAGTACTAACGAATTGCGGGCAAAAAATGAAACAGCTCCAGCACCTTCCTTTGCAAAGTCTTCTCGTGTTCAATGCAGCACAAACTTCTAAGGCACCTGCCATGGGATCCACTCGCCTTTCTGGATATCGTAGAAATAGTCGTAGATGAGGGCCCCTTGGTCCAGCCCCTCCAACCTGCCATCCGTCGGGCCCAGCAAAAAGGGTCGTTATGTATCCTCTCGGCCGCTTCCAACCAGAGCCAACAAAGGCAAGTGCGCGTGACTTTTCAATCATCAGGGGCTGCCAATGAACCGTAAAAAACAAGGCCCGCAGAAGTCTGACCTGCACAGGGGACATGGGAGAGAACATTCTGCAAACTCATCCAGGTCATCTGGGCATCAGCCACATTCAACGAGGCTTGCAAACTGACCCATCAAGCGCCTGATTCCTTCCTGTGCTGGAGGGAGCTCAATGTTCCTGTCCTGGCCAAACAGCTGATGTGTAGGCACATCTCACTCATGCCGCTAAGGCGAGATGGTGGTGGCTGGGGTCCAAATACTCTGCTAGCACCCGGGCAAATCATTGGCAAAACGATACCGCGCTACTGCTGCTGGCACCGCTGCTGTTCCTGCCACTGCCACCAGCACTACCAGCATAAGTACTGCGACTATTACTACTGTCACTACTGCGACGACAACGACCACGACCTCGACCACGAGTACGAAGACGACTACTACTACTACTGCTGCTGCTGCTACTACTACTACTGCTGCTACTTCATCACCAACAACAATAGTGGCAGCAAAAGCAGTCGGGGCATTAGCTGTGCCACCTGCCTGCCACATTTATAAACAATATCAAATGGGCGAGCTGCCATTACAAACAAAGGTCAAATGGGGGAGCCCATCACCGCGATGTTTTTGTTTGGAACATTTCACAAGCATGCGAGCAATCCGTGTAGCCATTGATGTACCTTGTGAATCCCGGTGCACGCTGATGTTCCGAATCAGCGTCTGGTGGCATCCGAAGCTGCTTCCAGCGGCTTCACACCCGGTTCTCGTTCGCCGCTTCGTTGACGATATCTACGCAGGATACGGTATGTCGTTATGAAAACTATTTTTGCGGACTTGCAAATATGTGTGCACGCGGTGTAACTTTTGGTGTAGAGTATTGTAGGCGCGCATCAGTTTCTTTGGCAACGCCTCACACACACGAACAACAGAACAACATATTCAGGTACACAAAGCCTTTCGAACCATCAGCAATGACAACACATCCAATATATTGTGCAGTGCATTTGGGGGTCAACAGGTGTCAACATCAGTCCCCAAGAATTCCTCACATGTAGTCGGACATTACTGGGGGCACGCATGCCCACCACTCATTCGCAGCGTCTGCGAGCATGACGACACTTGGAAACCATGTACAAATCAGCAGGCCGAGGTAAATAAAGCCAATACAAAGTGGCCAAGGTCCTACCAATATGCCGGACTTCGAGGTCTCTTGGTCACAGTCAGCCAAAACAACACACCGCCTCCACGTCCCGGGAGAGAGCGGTGTGCATCTCCTGGGAAGAAGCAGGGCTATTGCCACAAACGGTGGTGCATCTCTGTTGAGGGCAATATCAGGGATAAGTTAGACAATTAGATAATCAAATCATTGAACAATCAAGTAGTTAGAATGGGATTGCGAGTACTTGAAAGCAGATCCAGTCATGAACAGAGATATTGATGTGCGCAATTTTGTAGGCCCCTCATAGCACCCGTTTTGATAGATGCGACGGACACTCGGATGGAAACTGCCCATTTGGACACAAGACCAAACATGTTGTTTGCTTTTGGTGCGCTTCATCCTGTGGGTCACGCAGTCACCAGAAGATAACATGTAACGTTGACCGCAAATTTCAGGAACAAAGTCATCTCCCCGAAAGAAAGGGATCCTGCTAAATCAGGACCTGTTGGGGGTCCCGAGGTTTCCCTCTTTGGGCTGTCAGATTAAGTGTTCGTCACCTTTGGGGGAAACCAAAATGAGCTTCTCTTCCGGTGATGTGTAAAGCGGACCAAGCAAATATGATCAGGGAAGCCTGTCACAAGGGTCGTAGTTTGATGCCTGGTGAAGGGCAAACTCGGAAACAACAGAGCCGATGTTCGACCCTTGAGGCTTGGTCATCGTTGAGCTCGTAGCCCTAACATCCCTTAAGTCCATTCAGTTTAACATCGAAGCTCGACCTTGTGGGCGGGTGATGTTCGGGGACCGCCTGGGAAACATCGAAGCGGCGCCTGCGAGGTGATGGCCCAAATAAGCTTCGAGAAGGCGGAGCGAGTGCTCCCCTCGCAGCTGGCGCCCAAAGACCAGACCTCGAGCCAAACGGGGCCTTGAAGCCAGGGAGGTGACCCCCTGAGGAGAATACGGGGTGGGGCACTTCCTTGACATATCACCAGGAAGCGGACCCGGACGGATCCATTGCGTCTTGAAGGGACCCCTGTCAGGTGGCATGCTGGTGGCTGGGCGAGTACCTTTTGGATGTCGCATCCTTGCGGCAAAAAGGATCCACCAACAACACACTCCTACATGTTTAGGACGTTTCTGCTTATGCCAAAAGTAAAACCATGGTTGCCCTGTTGGTCCATTTCATTGCGGCAATAGGTCTGACCTCAATTGACAAGCCTGACGGTCAGTGACCCGATGCTCAAACGGTTGATTGTCCATGTGCATCAAACCACGCTGGAATTGGGCCATTTAATACAAGTTTCCCTGAATCCGAATGGGGCATGTAACAGATCAAAAAGGAACCTCATGGAGCCAGGTTGGTCCTCAGAAAGCAATCAACAAGCATCTAGTATGCGGCACACCCAGTTCCGCAGCGCTCTTGGCAATCCAGGGGCCAGGAGAGGGAAATACAACGAGATAACTCACAGGCCGGTTCACCTTGTCACGCCGAATCTTTAGGCAACGTCCCTCCCTTTCAAGCGCAACTTCGCCCCTTGTCGCCCTTAACCACAATCCAAAATGCGCAGCTAAGGAATGCGCCATGGCAAAAATGAAGAGTGGCGTAACGTGGGGCAGGAACTCGGCCACCTGAGCGCTGCGCCAACGAGTTGCCAACAGGGCCGTTCGGCTCAACAACCGCCCAAGGAATAGTGACACCAAGTTGGGGGGTCCAACATTTTCCAGGTTCTGCAAACAGGACGTGTCCAAACAGAAACCAACATGAGACCCTTTGACACAACAGGCTCTTCGCCCAAATTGGGCTCTGAGGGGATGACTCAACATATCGCACAGTTCTGCCTCATTTGGGGACTAGGGGCCTTTCAATCTGGCTGGTTTTTCCAACTGCCTAGTGTCCACAATTGTCCATAAACTAACTACTTTTGAAAGAATATGTCCATCTTCATGCATGCATACGCCGATTGTATGATAACATAAATGACATGTCATGGCTCATGTATCTGCACATGCAGGTAGATGCATAACATACAGCTACATGAATGTAGATGGGTGTGGGCGTAAGCCCCGAAATTGAAAATACGCCTACTATGTTGAATAGGTATTGGACGGAAGCACTGTTCAATAGGTATTCAGCGGCAGCAACAACGGCTGCAACATGTGTACCTCAAAATGCTAGCGAAAAGCTCGCGCCACGAGTAGTAGTAGTAGTAGTAGTAGTAGTAGTAGTAGTAGTGGTAGTAGTAGTAGTAGTAGTAATAGTAGTAGTAGTAGTAGTAGTAGTAGTTGCAGTAGTAGTAGTAGTAGAAGTAGTAGTAGTAGTAGTAGTAGTAGTAGTAGTAGTAGTAGTAGTAGTAGTAGTAGTAGTAGTTAGGACTAGTAGTTATTAGTAGTTAGGACTAGTAGTAGTAGTAGAAGTAGTAGTAGTAGTAGTAGTAGTTGTTGTCGTAGTAGTAGTAGTAGTACTAGTAGTAGTAGTAGTCGCGGCGGTAGCCATAGAAGTATTTCCCCGCGCCACTACCTTGCCGTATGGAGCTCATGCTGGCAGAGGAAAGCATACATCTTGTCAATGAGCTACATGCTGTTCATCTGAGGCATCAGGAGTAATAGCAGCAAAAGCAGCAGTAGTAGTAGTAGCAGTGGTAGTAGTCGTAGGAATAGTGGCACAGCAGTATTTGTAGAAGTAGAAGTAGTAGTAGTAGTAGTAGTAGTAGTAGTAGTAGTAGTAGTAGTAGTAGTAGTAGTAGTAGTAGTAGTAGTAGTAGTAGTAGTAGTAGTAGTAGTAGTAGTAGTAGTAGTTAGTAGTTAGTAGTAGTAGTAGTAGTAGTAGTAGTGGTAGTAGCAGCCGTCGTCAGCAGCAGTAGGAGTAGTAGAAGTCCTCAGTGGTGGTAGTAGTACTAGTAGAAGAAGAAGTAGTAGCAGCATAAGGCGGCAGAAGTCGTCTACTCATTCGCTCGCATGTTCTTCTTAGCGTTGCCTTCGCTATCCGTGCTACTCGCGGCCGGCACGGTCGGAGGGGTACAAATTCTGCGCGGAGGAGAGTGCGTGAGGCAGGCACTGCGCTGCGCACACATACCTACATCACTCAAGACCGAGCACACTGCTGCTTTACAAGCCTTATATATTGACTACTCAAACCAAACTTCAACAATAGGTGATCAAGGAGTATTAAATGAGTGGAATTGAATGGTGGCTGTTCAATATTGATTGAACGGGGTATTGAAAGAAGGTGCACCCCTTATCGCCCAATACAAGGGTTTGAAGCCAAATGTATACATATCCGAAGGCTGTCAACCATCTGGCCTTTGTTGTTTGGAGCCTGGTGCTCCATCGTCCCTTCTTTTCAAGAGCGATACAGTAAGAATGGGTCCATAAAATGGGAGTTAATTCTGATTGTGGACCCCATGGTGATATTTACGTGGAGGTTCAGGTCCGCCCACTTTTGAGCTGGCCCCCAAAACCACTAGCCATTGAGACAACCCGAAATGGGTCCATACACATGCGGTCCGTTTCCGGGCCAGCGCCTCCTCCTTGAAGGCGGCCGCCGGACGCAGCTCGGAGGGCCGGAAGGCGGCGAAGTAGCAGTCCAGCCTAACTTCCCCTTTGGCCGATCTCATTGGTCTTTGGGGGGTAGGCCCTCATCGTACATGTAACAAATATGATTGTACATAATATGATGTAAAGTCTTCAGCTCCTAGGCTTGGAAGATCCACCAAGGCAGCTAGAGTCTCAGGCAAGGCGAAGTTTTGCCATGTCGTTTTAACTTTTAAACACACGTTGCTCTCGTCAGGCCAGTTGTTCCGCAATCACGCACCATCGCATCCTGTGAAACTCAGGCCGTACCGCCCAGGCATGCAGCTACTTGAACACATTCTCAAGGCCCTGGCATCCGGAACAGGGACTGCACCAAGTTCGTGTCCTGCGTCTGGACCACCTGGCGGAGGCAGAGCTATCAAAGTGGAGGTAGCTTTGGCTAAGGTACATGCCCAACATATGCAGAATTTGTGCTATGCCAAACTGGAAGCTTCAAGAAACCAGGCACAAATCAAGACACAAGGCAGGGGCACAAGGAATGCTTAACATTAGTTAACGCCTAGAGACAGAGAGAGAGAGAGGGAGAGAGAGAGAGAGAGAGCAGGAAAATAAAAACTGCGCACCAGGCACAACACCCGCCAAGTCCTGCGTAATGTTGACCCCGGATTGATCAACCTTGCGGGTTATTGCAGATCAACCAGCCTCCTTGCAGCACTTCCGAACATAGCTCACGCTCGAAGGCAAAAGCTCCTGGACGGCAGTTCGCCGAGTGCCATACCGCACTGGGATCATTGCGAGCTGTGGCTATTCACAAGCGATGCCACGCCGCATGTCAAAATAGGCAACTGTGTGGCTTGGCGATTGGTTCTGCCAAGTTCAAACATTGAGGGTTTCCCTGCCAAGTCCAAAAATGTGGTTTCATGTGTTTGTAAGACATGTGCAAGAAACCAGCTGGAACACCATGGTGCTTGATGTCAGACCTGAACGCCAAACTGTGAAGGGATGCTATGCAAACCCACGTTGCGCGTGCCATAGGGAGCCCACTAATGATGTTTTGTAGAAGTAAATGAGGATAACTTGGGTCCGGGTTTGTTTGGAGAACAAGGCAAACGTCAGGAACCAATGGCAGTCACGGGTCAGAAAGCAAGTATCCTACTTCCCCGTGCGACAAACCGCACGGACTTGAAATGAACAACACTCATTCAGGACTCAAGCCGTAGCTGACCAGGATCTTGCAACGGCGTTTCCATGAGTAGCCTGCAGGCCATCAACAATCATGCCGCATGGCAATGCCTCAAGCCTGGATCCAGCAGAGCTGGAAGTGCGACTACCCCCTTGGAGAGAGATCGGCATCGGCCAAAAGGTCGGCGAGCTTTCTGAATTCCAAGCCCAGCTTCTGACATCTCACAAACAGCAACTTCAAAAGCATTTTCAAAAGAAGCGTTTCGTGGGGCCTTGAGCTTCCATATCAGGTGGCCGTGAGCCCAGGGCCGTGGAACCGTGGAACCAGTCCTCACAGAACTTCCGAAGCCTCGTGCCAATGTCTGGCCTGAGACAAGCGAGTCGGACAAACCTTCAAATGGCCCCGGTATCTATCCTCCAGAGTCGCCAGGCTTGACCAATTCACCGAGTGCCGAGTAAAAAGGTGCGAAGCCCTCAAACAATCAAGCTGACCGATCTCGCCGGATGGGAAAACTGTGGCAAAGTCAACTTCCAATTGGTCAAAGGCCGAATCAAAGCTCAAGAGGTCCAAGTTGCTCTGAACTCTCAAGCGCCTCAAAGGCCCCCCGACTGAAAGCCAAAGGTTTCGGGCAACGCGGCCAGCCAGGAGTCAAAGAGCGGCTGGAAGCCTGGCGCGGGCTGACCCGCTGAAGGTCAATTTTTGACATGACAAACGAATATGGAGCTTTCGATGATGGCAATTGTGCGATCCTCTCAGAGTGTCGCAATGCATGTCGTTGTTGGGGTTTGTGCTCTTTCATTAATTTTACACCTGGGCCTTTGCCGACATGTTACTCGTCTGAAGGCTCTTTGCGTTTGACGTCAATGCTTGCTGACTTCCAGAGCTCAGAGGTGTGTGTGTGTGTGATAGTGATGATGTGTCGCAAACCACATGATTCGGGACATGATCCCAGACGTCCATGGCGATGTATAAGCGTGAACTCAGCTGTTGGATCCGAGAAGTGGTTGAACAAACAACGGCAACAACTGCCAGCTTAAGTGGCTATCGGGATCCAACGTGCCACACAAACTCCACAACCACAACTGCACATTAAGCTTGTCCCTGCTATTCTGCAAACACTTGCAGTGTGGGAACAAGGTTCATCTCACCTTGCCCCCTCCCTGAATCACCGTTGATGTCCATCCGCCTCAAGTGTGGGAATAGATGTCAGTCGATAGACAACAACTCCCAAAATGATCCGGTGGCCGACTTGCCTAGGCTCTCAGGCTCCATATAGATCATACCTTGGCGGCGTGCTTGGCCAGAAGTGGATCAAGTGCTCCATTGAAGCAAACTGGAAGCAGTGATCATGCCATGGATATGTCTTTGACTTGGGAAGGAACAACACTGGTTCATACTCACATTTCTCTACACGATGCTTTTACCCCTCCACCCTTCTTTTGAAGGCTACAACACCAACAACGTAGCGAAGAACTCAGCAAGTGTTGGAGCATCTGCCCACTGCCGTTCCATGAAAATGGTCTCCTGTGCCCCGAATTGCTTGACGCGTTGGTTGTTCTGGCAATGCCCTCAACCGCCTATAAACATATTGTTGTCCCAGCAGCTCGCGCACAACAAATTCAGCTAATCAAGGAATATACTATATCCTACATTGTGCAAAAAAAGCTTCACTACACTGTCAGTCATACATTCTAAGCCGCTCTATAGTGCCAACCAACAAATGAAGCTTGATCCCACCGAAGGCTGGTGCAATCACCGCTAAATCAGGACTAAGAGGAGCCAGGCTGCCGCAGCGGGACACCGTGGCCGGAGAGGCGACTTCCAAGTCCTGCAGAACTCTCCGGACAGTCAATGATTTGGCTTTTGGAACCTGAAATTCAGGACTCCAAATCTTAAGAGTATCCTTGCTTTTCATTCTAGGGGGTTGTGTCAGGACAGGACTTACATCCCTTCGCGCGATTGTTTCTCTTGTTGGGGGTCCTTTGGGCCCTCGTTCAGGTCTTGGGAACCTGGAGTCAGAACTCGGCCCCGTCTGAAGCTTGCCACGTCTCTGTTCACTCGCCTCGTGAAGTCACTTTCCAAAGAAGACGTCCACTCAAGCACTGCCAGGAGCTGACTCGGAGGGGTGACTTACCCAAGCACGCGCAAACACCGAGTTTTTGCAAAGAATCAACCCAGACGTTCAACTCCTTAAGCCTCATGATACCCAAAACAATTTCATATCCCACCTCTTTCCCACCAACGAATGACCGCAACGAGCTATTGACTCTGGCCATGTCTGCACTATCGCATCGGCAGCCTCTCTCGCTCTCTCTCTCTCTCTCTCGCTTTTTTTTCTTCTCTCTCTCTGTCTCTCTTCCCCTCCACTCCCCCGCCGTTGCACCTCAACCTCAAACATCATCCGCATCTGAGGTGTGAGTGCCTTGCCGGGCAAACAACCCTGAAGTCAGTTTGATCTTCGTGGAGCTGTGGGCATTTATCTGGGGGCGCAGTTGCCAATTCTCTGAGAATCCCTCCCATGTGCTCGTCCAACAATACCATGGTAAAATCGCCAGCTCGTGGACTCCGACATGATTTGCATGTGTTTGCCCCATGCAGGTGGGAATTGCAGAAAGATCTTCGGCATGCATCACAGGCAGCCAAATCACAAGCCATAAAAAAGGAATCAGCTTGATCTCAGTATCTGCAAGACCGAGCGGCAATGATCTCGCCGCTGACCAGGCACAGCTTCTTGTTGTCGTCCAAGACTGTATTCATGCTCCTGAGGCTTGTCATTCAACACACCCTTTGGGTTCAAACAATCGTACGCCAAGGCCGTACAGAATCTCACAGCTGAGGAGCTCAATCCAAAGGGCATCCACAGGGCCGTCGAACATGACCTGGGCGATCCAGCTGTCCACAAACACACGTATCTCGCTCTCTCCAACTCACCTGCAGGTGCTTCCTAAAAATATGGTTTTCCTTTGTCGTATCTGGGGGCGAACCCTACACATTGGCCGTCAGCCCAGGAGCTACCTGCTTCCAAAGGGCACTGGGCCATCCTCCCTTGGTAATTGGGGACTCGCCATCCTTTGGTCGCTGAAATGCATTCCTTCAAAGGAAGCCCAGCTTTGCTGAACGCCGCGCCCTTGCCGCCTTCAAAGGTGATGTCCCTTGCACCCACAAAGGGAACATGTACGGCGACGGGCCCTTTCGGGGGTATGTAGCCCCCCATACATTACTTCTCGGGTGGCATGTTGTGGCGCCACCCAGCAATTCATAGTATTCAGATTTCTTTTCTGCTAGCGCGCGGCCCAGTGGTGGTCGGGTTGCGCAGCGTCCCGCGTGGCATTGCGGATCTCCTGGCCGGGGGAGGTGAATTGGAAGATCCTCCTTGCTGAATGGATGGAGCACTCAGCGCCCTCTCGAGAACCCTGGCTTGGCTTTAGAGAGGGACTTGTGACTTGCAGGTTCCTTGGTGGGAGAATTCCTCTGCGAAGAAAATCCAGCAGGATGGCACTGGATGCATCCTACGAAATCCCAATATGGACTCAAGGGCCTCTTCAAGGAGACAGCGCTTCTCCACAATCTGTCTCTCAGCTTGGCTTAAATATAGTTTCAAAGCAAGATAACTGCCATGGCTCGCACTCAACATTTGCAAGTTGCGAAGCCATGCTGCTCAGTACTGCACACATGTTGGTTGCATGACAGTGGCTACTGATCTTCACTCGCTCAGTTACCCAAGAACAGCCCACAAGTTCTGTAGTCTCGCATATTGTCACTCTGCCAAATCTATCGCATCATGAAACAGCAGCTTAACCTCAAGAGCACATGCAATCCTTACACTTGCCATGCAGTAGGACTAGAGGCTATTCTGCTGTTGACATGGTTTTACCTGGATGCAAAGCCTGCTGAAGTGAAGTCGTGTCTGACCCAACTCTACGAACTTGCATCTTGACACTAGCACATACTCTATGGACGTGGGCAAAAGGGTGCACATCGTGCAGTGACAGCAGAGTTTGTCGTCCTCAGCTGCAACTCCATCAGACCACTCCCGGGTGATCTCGTCGAAGGATCCATACAACCTTGGTCATATTTCCGGCGCGCAGGTCTTGATGCGATGAAACGACCGGTTTGAACTCGGTAATCTGATCTAAGAAACTGTCAATCAACAAGATGCGATATGCCTGTGACATGGATATGTGGGCTTGATCCGTTTGCAAAGATCCCAACATGTGCATTCAGCAAGCAACACCGCAACATGACATAAAGAGGACAAACAAGTGTATGTCCCTACTTCTGGCAACAGTCAACACAAAACATATGTCGAACAAAATGGAAGGACTTCTGGGGCGGACAGCTTTTATCGTTTCGAATGTAAGAGCACCATGTAGCATGGCACACACTCATCTGGTTCACATAGACTGAAGCATAGCAAACTTAGTTGGATGTGAAACTGCTGAACACCTCCCATGCTGATGCCGCCCCCGTCATCTACGATATAGCAGGTATATAGCAGGCGTACATTATTTTATTCGATGCTCAGTGCCAAGCAAGCATATGTGGACATGTGAGAACAAACGCAAAACAACACACAGTAACTGATGTGGCCAAACAGATTTACAAGTGGCGGCTGAAAACCATGGCTCCGCCTATAGATGTTTGTTGGCGTGGTTATCATGTAGGGGTGAATGTCATTTTGGTCTTTTTTGGCGACCCCATGTTTTACACGACTCCTTGCACGTTCATGCAGGGTCAATTCAACTTGCGCAACCTTCATTTCCTTGCCTCTAGCATTCCCTAGGACTGAATGCGGCTGATGAGCACTATTTTTCTTGCATTCGGCAGGGTACATTGGCATAATTTAATCAGGCTTCGTTGTAGAAGTTCCCGGGCACGGCCGCACTAAAGGCCCATGCCACGCCCGAAATGTCCACTTGCTTCTGCGCAAGCCGCGGAATGAGTTCAGGAACCCTGCATGCACGGCCGAGGTTCCTGTTGCATTTAGGCTCGTGCCCAATTGCAAAAGGAGACCTGGGGAGCTGCCAATCACGCAGTTCCTAGTACATGATGTAGGTTGTCCTGGTGCATTCTACTTCGATCTCCTGGGAGCACAGAGATTCTCGCAGGGATTCCCTCAGCTGGGCATTCTCTCTCATCAAGAGCTTGTGATCCTGAAGCAAAGCTGTATACGCCTCCAGGAGCTTCCTATGCGTCAGTTCGCTGATCTCGTCCCCGACATCAGTGGCCGAATGCCGGCCGTGAGTCCTTGGCTCTTGCGGATCCAGGTGCTGCGTCGCTCGCGGGCGTAAAGCGGCGCGTCGACTGGTGGGGCCTCACTGGTCGACCCTGTCCCACCGCCAAATGACTTGGCTGACATGGGTGGGTTTGCACCGGCGTGGGCCTCTGGTAGCCCGCAGGGCTACAAGTCATCTGCGCACCCGCAGGGGTCTGAGGACGGAAGCAGACTTGTGTCGAGCGCGTCGAGATGGTCATCGGGTACGCTGCGGACTTTGGCTCGACTTGCATGGCGAGCACAGGCTGACTGTCACCAAATGTCCAAGCTTGAGATTGAGCCAGAACGAGGCTGATGAGCATCATGAACTAGTGACAGTTCCTCTTCAGCAGTGCGTATTGTTTTTTTCATGGAGCAATTTCGATCTGCTAGACTGACAATATTGGATCTCAATCTGGCCAAGTCTTGAGGATAGGGAGAAACAGTTTTGGCTTCTCAGGAACTGCAATCAATCACTATGGACGTGCGTACTTCTGATTGGCGCAGTGAGAAAGGATTCACCCCCACAATTAGCTAGTTGAAGTCTACAACATTGCCCTGCAACTCAACTTGTGTCCTGTGGACTTCGACTCAGTCCGCGTCGTAGGTGGGTGAACTTTCCCAAGCTTGAAACTGTGCATAATGCAGCCCCTTGTGTAAAATCTTGAAAATGGCGGCACCATGCTCTTTGCTGTTGTCACTGGGGATTGCGACGCGTCATCACTGAAACCTGTCCCAATAACATGCCTGTTTGCATGCGTCACCATGCGGGCAACAAGTGTGAGCAGTTCACGTCCCACAGTTTCATCTCATCACCCCGGGGCGGGGACTGGTTCTGCGTGATGGACTTGGGATTCAAGCAGTGCACATGCACCTGCAACGGCAACGGTCCATACGGTCCATACGGTCAGGCTCGCATCATGGACAAGGCGTTGTTCATGTCCCCACAGCTCTGGACTGTGTGCTGTATGCCGGTGTATTGGTCGGTGTATTGCTCCAAAGGAAGAACAAAACGTTTGCGCTGCAGTCGGTCAAACTGTGAAGCTCTCAAGGATTTGTTCTGTCCGCAAAGAAAATATTGATAATTACCCTTCAAATACTACCGTTCCACCCAACGTCGATGTGCCCCTGATCGCCCAAACATCCAAAATGGCAGCCCCGCAAGCTTGGCTTTCAGTCTGCCAAAATCATCTCACAAACTTAGACATGTGCGCTAATAGGCGCCAAATCATCCAAATTCCTGATCCTACAAAGGACGACATTGTACCGCTCAAATCATACCCGGCCTTCTGATATGGGGAGGCCGACTTGCTGGCATCCAGCAGAGAAGTGCAGGCCCGTTGCAGCCTAAGGGACCCAGCGAACCTCCACTTCCGCTGCAAAAGGACCGGAATGTTCCCACATGTGTCGCTTTTGCTGTGTTGATCCAGCAAATGGTTCAACAAAATTCTGGAGTGTTTCCTTTTGCTAGATGGCAAAGCGCTCGGCGCAGACATGCCAACCCATGCCACCCCTCAAAGCCAATAGCTGTGCTAAGCTGGCAAGCTGCTAGTACCGAGCAAACAGCCATGAGTTCCCAGTAGAATCTCGCGCCACGCACGTCGCATGCTACGGGACACACGCACACACGTCGCTCTGCGGCATCGCGTCATGTGTCATGCAATCTACCCTAAAGTAAGAGCTGGAGGTCTCGGTCTCAGTGCGCCAAAAGGGTTGGTTTCTGTGTCCTAAGTCACACACGCGGCTTCATCTGCACCCGGTCTCTTGCCACCCACTGCTTGGGGCGCCAGGCGAGCGATAGCAGCAGGTCTTCCCGCCCCCAGTGGGCCCCACCAGCATCATGCCATGACCTGAGCTGCTGCCCGCCAGCCGGCGCAAGGGCCGGAAAATAGGACGCTACATCGTGGGATGTTGCATGAGGTCCAAGTCAAGGCCGCATGATCCAACTGTGCTGGTTTCAACTGGGCTTGATTTATGACGGCAAGACAATCAGTCTACATCTTTGGTTTGATCTCCCGTGGCAGTTGCCGGTGGCAGTTGTTGCCGGCGCTTCGAGCTTATTGTGACTGCATTGAAAACATGACCACTGACATTCGAAGCTGAACCTCTTTCCGGCGCAAAACTTTCTATACCGGGCAGTCGCTCTTGCGCGAAGCAACAGGTCCCGTGATCCGAAAATCCTCAAGGTGAGGCCCAGGCGAACCTGGATCATATCCTCAAGCGGGCGCTGTGCATGCCAGTTCAGATTGATGGCTTGCATCAGCGAGAAAGGCGCGAGAATGAAAGCAAATAAAAAGGATCCGGAAGCATGGACAACATCAACAGCGGTTCTGCAGCGCTTCAGGATTGAGACATGCCGTGGCCAGGGGAAAAAACTGAATCGCTGCTTGGCCAAAGGCAAACCAAATGGTTCAATTGTGGACCAGTGGCCGTTTGAGCTGATCCACTCTCTACACTGTGAGTCTGCCAACAGTTTAAGGCTCCAGGGGGTACTGGATTAGCCAACTTCTCAAGACAAATGCTCCTGGTATACAGCCAAGGTTTCTGCTGCCGTGTCACTCGAATTCGCCAAACATGTTTGACAGCTCTGCAAAGCGCCATATGAAACCTGCCCCCTAAGCAATTTGTCATATGGAATGTTGGCCTGCATTCGGCCGCATTGCAGCGCGCAAGGTGCCGTTTGAGCCACCTACACAAAGCATGTCTTGGACACCGCATCCAGTGGCCAAACAATTGCATGCCACGAGTCAAACAGCTCGAACTGCTTCTTGACAAAGTACGGCACGGGCTGCAGATTCTGGCCCAGGCCTCAACCAGCAACTTGCAGTTCTAGCATGACATCCAGCACACGGCTCGGACTCATGCTGTTTCACAAATACCTGGCACCCATTCGTATGGAGCTTTGGGTAATACTAACAAGGACATCCTGATTGCGTGAATCTTAATCCAAGATGCACAACATAGCATTACTTCGTTAAACGGGCGCTTTGAAACTGCATGAACCGTCCGGCCTCAACTCATACGTTATACAAGAAGTTTGTCCGACTTGTCAAACCAAATGCAGTGAATTGGGAATCCAAACGAGGGAATGCGGCGCCATACCAGTTCAGGCAGAGCACATGTCACCAGCCAATTCAGCAACGGCAAGTATTCAATCATTCGGCGTTTGCTTGGAACCGAGTCACACTCACCACAATGTCCAACAATCTTCCCGGTAAATGAAACAAAAACCAAGGGAAATGCATCATGAGCACAGCCCAAAATTGTGGCACAACGAACCTCGGAGCCCTCATTGAGCTATGGCCGGTACTTTCGGTGTGGCATGCTTCTTCCAACCTCGGCGCGGCACCGACGCCTTTGCCTGGCTTGGGGTAAAGGGTCCCTTGCCCGGCTGCACCACCGAGCGGCAAGTAAACGCGAATGTCTCAAAGAAACAAACAGCACCCCAGCCAAATACAGATGACCAGCAAGGAGTGGATTTTCACTCAAGCTAGCTGCAGGAAGGCTTTCTTCCAGTGTCTTCCCTGCGTCGATCTGCGGTACAGAGCCAAACTGGCCGTAACTGGTCGCCACACAAATGGATCCTTTTTTTGGACATCCAAGCCCAAAGGTCCTAACTGTTGAACGACCCGAGCGCGAGGCCGCCCGTAGTCCATTTGCGGACGCTCCACCTCGGTGGCCAGGCTGCTCCTCAAGTGGTCCTTTCAGGCATTTCCAAACATCGGGCCCTTTCGCTTGGTCAACGCCAAACCCGAAGTCTAGGATTCAACTCTGTTCTTTGTTAATCCTTTCAGTCAAGGGCAAAGATGTATATGTTCACTACCAAACGTGGACCCAATTCAATCCAACAATTGAGGACGACCTGGATATTGGGATATTGGGAACTTGTCCGCATGTGAAATGGGGCTGCCAATTGTGAGCATCCCATTTGCTGCTAGATGCGGGCGTTTCACCTGAAGCTAGAATCCCTTCGAGGTCAAATCTCAGCCTGTCGTGACTGAGATGCTGACTCCAGGGAAAAGGTCGGAGATGATATTTTCAAAGAGCGGCAGGTCGTCTTTCAGGAACTTTGGCACCTGAACTTGAGAGACGCTTGCACTATGCGGGACAGGATCGCCTCAAGGCAGCTTTGGACCGAAGGTGAAGCCAGCTCCCTTCGCTGGCCCGAGACGTGTGACTGGGGCTGACGCATTGACATCACGGAGTGCTCGAAGCAAGATCTGCGACCTGCGCGAAGACGACTCTCTGGCTTGCTGATGACAGTGTCTGTGTTGCTGCGAGGTTCTGTCTGAAAATGCAAACCTGGCTATGCCTTGCCGTGGCGGCTTTTAGTAATAGCTTCCACACGGAGTGCTGCTAGGAAAAGTCAGGGGAGCCTTAAGGAAATGGAGGGAGGACCTTAGGTCCTGCATGTTTGAGTCTCCCAGGCACGACATGACTTGTACCCAAGCGTGCGGCAGATCGTAAGCACTCTCTTGCAGGTACATTCCACAAGACCTCTTCAGGAACAGCTGGGCAGCTAAGGCTCCCTATCAATTCTTAATGACAACTGGGCTGCCAGGCTCGCTCTGGTCTGGATACTGGCGCTTGTTGAGACCGGCTGCTTCAATGACGGTCTTCACGGCCCGCATGCCGTAATCCTGAAGCATTTGCGCTCAAATAATCTCAGAAACAGAGCTTGATCTCCATGGTATCCGCACGACATCCCTTCAATGACCCAAATTAGTGCAACTGAGTTCTGATAGCACTTCGTGGCTGTATTGTCCATTGGGAGGGAGCAAAATCGCGCTGCAAAGCGACATAAGACAACATCATTTAACATGTCCCTTTCCCAACGCAGGCAGTCATACAACAAACAAGATAACAAATATAAATATCATCAAATATCCGCCCTCATAACTTAGACGCAGACTTTGCAAACCCGCATGCGCCCTTGCCATCTGGGCCCTTGGCATAGTGGGACTGTGCGGAGAGTTGCTCACTGCAGAGCTGAAACGTTGTCACCTGGTGATCAGCTTGGTTTCCGAGTCAGCCGACCCCCAAAGATCAGGAATTTTGTGTGGAGCAAAGCTTTGTTTGTTGACATGAGCCCCTGTCTTAGCCCCTCTGGAAGAACACCATGGTGACCTATTGTCAACAACCTGGCCCCTGAAATAATTCATCTTCCGGCTGCCCGAGATGATTAATACAACCCTAAAATCATAGTCGCCGACATCCCCAAAGAACGAAACAACATATCATGTAATCAACCAAAACAACTTAACTCAAAATCAGCAAACAACATGAGCTTAAACAAGTGCAAGGGGAGATTCAGGACTACATTTTTCGGACAGAGAACAACCACTGCCAAATCCAAACTTACGTACATGCCATAGTTTCATTGAACGGCCTGGCCAAGGGGGGGCTTAGTTGAGGGGCAACAAACATTTGGTTTACTCACCCCACCCCACCCAACAAACACAGATGCAACCCAAAGGCTCAAGCAATTTTATTTGAATCTAATCCCAGCCGCTGGTAAAGCTTGCTCTACGCCCCAGCCAAAGTACCCAACACCACATTTAATGGAAAATGACAACAAGCAACAACAACCCCAAACTCACCCATATCTAACGTTTCATTTAAACACCCTTGCTTAACAACCCATCCTTCATTTCAACACCCTTGCTTAAAAACCTATCCTTCGTCAATCCCACAAAAAGAGAACTTGAGGAGGAAACCACTTTATTTTGGCCCCCCCCGAAGCAATGGTTTGTTGCAGCCCTGCACCGCCGAAAACAGAACCTCTCCAACCGCTCAATATCAACTGCAATTTTCAATCCAGCAAAAATTAAATAGAAACTCAAACACCCCCAAACCAATCTCAAAAGAAAGCTCTAGCAATACTACGCAAGTCTAAACCAATTGATTTGGGAGGGGGTCATCTGGTTAGGGGGATCCATTGTTGGGGGTGGAGGGGTAATCAAATGCCACCTTTGCTTTTGAGTTGCCGCCCAAACACTTCTATGGTCAGAATCAAAGCATCCATTTTGTCAAGGGTTGATGTACTTTCTCTACCAACCATGAAGACTCAAAGTCTTTCCGGAAGCTAATTCAAGCACTCTGTGTGTGTGTGTGTCTGGACGTACGCATGTCCTTAACATTTCCTCATGCCGCCAATGCTGCAAACCTAGAAAGGGTGCTAATTTCATGCTACGAATTGGGGCGGAACTACGAGATCACCACTGCCGCAAACTTCAAGCTGCGGACTTTGGCACTTTGGACGGTTTCTGAAGCTCAGCTCGCGGCCATCTTCTTGGCGAGATGTCGCCCTTTCTCAAAGCCGAAGGCATAGAAGCTGATCTCGCCGATCAAACCTGAAGCGAAGCGCGGACATCCTCGCCAGCAAAGGAGCTCTTGGTCCGTGGTGATTGTTTGGGGCCACTGATGAAAACAAGGTGTGCGTGCTCGGATATAGAGGATCTGGAGTTGTGCTCCCGGGTGAGCTGTGGTGACAGATATTGAGTGGAACAATCGACATGTTTCAAATTGAGAGCATTGAGAGGATTTGCAGGATGTCATGTTCAACAGCTTGAGGACCCAAGCCAGTTGCGGTGCTTGATAGGGTAGCAAGCAAGAAGACTATCTTGACAAAGCGGTTGCGACCAGAAACTTCTTCGAGCAATTGCGCTATGTCAACTGCAACAACAGGTCGACGAAAAAAGGGACACAACCGAAATTGGTGAACTTCAAAATCGCCAGTCTCTGTACTACTAGAATCCCCATAATCCCAGGAAATGTCGCCCGGCCCAATGGAAGTGCGCAGAACGCTGGCAACAAACGGGCTATAAGTTGTATTGCCTAATGATCAACAGCTCCTCTCATGGACTCCATAAAGAGTCTGCTCATGAGAGCTAAACGCATCGGTTCGCTTAATGTTGCCCCACTGTCCCTAGGTGTACTTTTGCAATCACATATTGTGGTACTGGCCAATGATGGATGTCTGTGTTTTGTTGTTGCAGTATTACAGAACCAAACTGAAACCAGCCGAATCTGTCCTTTCAACCAGTCACTAACCATGCTTGACGCGCCTCACATCTTGCAAATATTCGACCCTATTGCCACCAGGGACCACCCGAAATTGAGACCCTCGCAATATTCTCCGTTGCTCGTGTGGACAGATAAAATTTGAGCAGCGCCCGAAACCCATCGACTCTTGGTTCTACCAAGATGGCTATATAGGCTGTGTAATATATTGGTTGAAGCCCTAACTTTAACCTCCATAAAAGCAGGTTGTAGAACAACCTACCAAGATGGGCAATGGTGCTTTGGGCACTTCTCATTTATCCTTTCACCACTGCCCTTCCCAGCTGTGGCCGCGGCCATAGTCCGGCACCATCATCGCCATGGGCCGGAACAGCGCCGCCAAGTTGTCCGGCAGCTCCGATCGTCCTGCCTGGGAATTGGTCGGGGCTGGGCAGCTGGGTCTGGGAAACTCCAAATCGTTGGTTATGGGCTCCGTTGCTTCATTTTGAGCCAACCCTCAAACAACACACGCAAACTCAGTCGGCAATGTCTCAGTGGAGGACCTGTCGGTTGGTGTTTCAGCAAAACCAAATTGGAACCACCAGCGTCCCTCTTTTGAGGCTCGATACCTTTTGTGGGTTGCTTTGAAGGAAAGCGATGGGAAGCCGACGCGGATTTCGGGGTCTATTTGAAGACGAAGCCAAGGACCGCTTACGCTCACGATGCTGACAGAAAATGCCCCTTCCAACTCCCAATCACAGCCGCAGCACGACCCAAAGGCCCAGAGGTCTACTTGTGACAAACCTGTGCTACCGGAATTGAGAGCCCGACGTAGCCAGGATTCATGGTGATGAACACGTTGAACCTGCCATGAATTGGCGATCATCCCAGGTCGAACTTCATTATGTGAGCACATGTAAACATCCTTCAATATTCTCCGGATTTCTCACATTCACCATTATTCCATTATGAACCTTGATGAAGAAGCCCATGCCCATTCTGACCATGGCGAGTAAGCACTATTCTTAGAGACACAACATGATTATTTAGAGGGTCAAAGGTCCTTGAGCCTAATTTAGCGTTTTGGCTATAAGGGACTCGTGTCCTCATTCCATGCCGCGAGCCGAAAGTCTTGGCAGGCGGCGTAGGCTTCATCACGATCAGAGTCGAGTCAAACCTCCCAAGGGAGCCACTGCCACCAAGAATGTAACAAGAACCTTCCCGTACATTCGGGGCGCCCCTGAGATATTTGCTGTGTTGAGTCGCTGAGCACTTTCATACACAGGGTAACTCCTGTCGGCTTCTCCCTGCTTGCCTGCCACTTCCCCTTTAGCGGGTATTGCCCAAACCTAATGACTCCTGCCACGTTCACAGCTTGCAGCCTTGCGAGACCCTGAAGACAAAAATGTGAGCAACACCATAGCTGGGATTTGACCAGGATTTCTGTGCTTGTTGTCTTTGTCATGGTCCCCTATTGGCTTTGCGGTTTGGGCAGTAACGATCAGCTTCGTGTGGCAACAGCATACATGCCCAACTGACTTGGCTTAGGGATATGTTGCAGCCCGGCACTCTGAAACAGATTTGGTGCTCTCTGATCTTGCAGGTCCCCTTTTTGTATACGACTAACCCAACCTGACCTTTTGACTTCTGATTCTGTCAAGATGGTTATGAAGTCATGAATATTTATATAGGTCTAAGACGGTCTTGTTACTACACGC